AACAAAAGGACAGCAACTTGTCTGTTCCCCTTCCCCCAATTCCCCAGCGCTGTTCCCCTCCCCCAATTCCCCAATAAAATCTTTAAAAAAAAAAAAAGAAGAAAAGAAATACCTAGAGTCAAATGCTACATTTACAAATTATTAGCTGTGTGGCTTTTAATCAGGCATTACATGCTCTGAGACTCACCAAAAAGATAAAATGACATATTCTGGGGCGGGGAGAGATACATAATTGCTATTATGCTGCATGGGGAGTTAGGCTTATTAACCATGGTCAATGTAGCTAAATTTTATTTTGTACTTATTAAGCACCAGACTTTTTAATATACATCAGATACATTTTATACCTGAAAACTATGTATTGTGTATTATTATTCCAGTTCACATCTGAGGAAACTGAGGCTGAGAAAGATTAAGGAACTAGGGTTACAGAGCTAAAATGTGGTAAAGACTGGGTCTGAATCCCAGGTTGTCTGATCCTAAGGTACATGCATGTTCTTTACAATGACATTCCATGTGTTTTCCTTCTAACACTAGAGACAAAGAGGGGGAAAAATTGAGGCGATAAATTTAAAATTTAGATATTGTTGGATCTCAATAGTTAGTTCTCTTCATGTATCCAACCAAGGCAACATCGCTTCTCCCTGCTACTTAGTAATCAGATGTTGTTACAAGATGACAAAATGGGTCCCAGGATTCTGTAGAATACTTGGTTAAGTCAGAGTGGTTCCCTTTCCTTCTCTGCAGTGCATGCTGTTTTCCAGTTTGGAAGGCCAAAAAGAAGCCTGGACTGCTGCAGCCCGACCTCATTTTCCACGGAGTCAGCTAGAGGAGTGGCAGGGTGGAGAGCAGTGGTCCGTAGTGATCTCCCAAAGGAGGCCCCAAACCCTCCTTCAGCTCTGACTCAGCCACAGTCCTGCTGTCTTCAGAGGAAAAGACCCCTTCACACTCAGCCCAAGGCATCCTGCACTGTTCATCCTGGGAGGAGCCTATCTATCTGCAAGATTTTGCTCCTTTCTCTGGGGAAACTGGCTCAGTAGTATTTTTATAAATTATTGAACATGAAGCCCTTTCAAGGAAGGCAGACTTTGGTAATATAGGGTAATGCAATAGGAGGATTTTATACCACAAAGGCATAATTTTCAAACTTAAACTTGGGAAAAGAGGAGGTGTGGCATTAGACAGGGAAGTGGGAACAATTTGCAAGGTCAACTCTTTCCAGAAAGAAAGGCAAAGAAACCAAGCTTCTGGGAACCTTGTGAGCCAGGCAGTCTAACTATCATGCAACCCTTCGGAGATGGCCTTGTCTAAAGACAAAGAAACAGAGACTAGAAATGCTTAGTGACTTCCACAACCGCAAGCCCCAACAGTAAAACTGGGATTCACATGAGAGAAAATTTTAATGATCAAACCCCTTATAACGAGCTGCCATGGCTGGGAAAAGCAGCACACACATAGTCTGTCTGGTCAGGAACATGTACACCTTGTTGTGCAGAGAAAAGATCCAAGTTAGCTCCCCTCTTAATGAATATAACTTTCAAATTAAGAGAGTCAGAATTAATGTCTTTACTGAATGTTGAAATACATCCATTAGGTAAATGTTCAAAATATCATGGTGACAAAGCAGAAGGGAATCTGTTAAATGGTGAACTTACCTCAATGGTTTTCCTTCGAGTTTCCTTTTTCCTTCCATTTGCATCTGAACTTTCACTAGGTCAGTTGGGTTGGCTAAAAATTGGCCAACCACCCCAGCCATCATCCCTCCAATCACTGATTTCCTAATTATAAAAACGACAACAAGAAAAAAACCCCAACATTTTTAAAGGTTATCATTAATTTCACACATTTTGTAGTAAACAATACTGTTACAGCCCCTGCATGAGAGGTTTAAGACAGTGAGGAACAGACCCAAACAAATCACAGAGGCAAGTCGATGGCTGGTCTGTTGACAGATGGAAGGGTTAAAGGACCACCAGGAACTGAAATTCAAATCTGAAGTTTCAGAGGCCTTACATGGCCTGAAATGCAAAGGAAGGGCAGTTGCTGCAAAGACATAAACATCTGAACTGATCATTTAATTGCAGTTTAATTCTGACCACAGGAGAATAGAACAGCACAGAGGTAATCGGTCTAGCAGACAAAGGCTGGTCAAATTTTATAAACTACGATATTAGCAGTTAACCAGACTGAGGGGGGCTTGAGAACGTTCCTCTCTCTGAAGAAACTCTTTCTGTCCCTGGACTCTTCCTTCTCCTCACCTCCTAGAGCCAACAGTGATCAAGTCTAGACTATTATGCTTGAACGGCTTGGAATCTATCCTCTTTCATTCCGTCAAACATCTTTTACCCAGATGATTGCATTAGTCTCTTGGGGGTAAAGGGGGTATTTTCTTTCCTTTTACTCTGAAACAATATTGGAAGAGATACAAATGGCTATAGACTTAAAAAAGGTCCCTATCCCCGTTTCCCCTCCTCTGAGGCAGTCACAATTACTAGTTTCTTAGGCTTTTCTAGAGATAATAAGAATGCGATTACTGAATGCTTATTGCATCAGGCACTGCTCTAAGCGTTTCTAAAAATAACTAATTCTCGGGCCAGCCGAGTGGCGCCATGGTTAAGAACTGGCTTGGGATGCCAGAGGGCTCCGGTTCAGATCCCACATATGAGGGCCCTCTATAGATAAGATGCTGAACAACAGCTCAACCTGGAGCTGGGCTGCTGTGAGTCACCGGTGAGGGCGTAGGCT